GTCAGGTCGAATCAACTCTTCACCTGCTACACAGTTGCTTCTGTCACAATCTCTGCCATCATCTGCCATTTTCTAATGTCATCAAGAGAATTTCTTGACCTAGTTGTAAACCGCTGTATGCGACAAACACTTCCCACCATATATCCTTTGCATAGAGTCCTTTTTTTGACAAAAAATGTGCCACAGAATGCAGCTCTTCAGTGTGGTATACTCCTTGAGCACTGTCACCATTTGACTACTGAAACCAACCTCTGAACATGCACATGTGTCTGTTACCTAGTGATACACATAGAAAACATATCACGTCCATTATGGTTGTTTTACTTCCATTTGTGACCTATCTACTGACTCCCCCTTATATTTTCGTGGACTAATTATCATTAAATTAATGTTTTAAAAACAAAGCTTTATGGCATCACATAATTTTTACAAGCTGTACTTCATGGTTATGCATTAAGGTTCAGGTTTCTGACAGAGAATGTCAAGTTATTATTTTGTATTTGGTATGCATGAGATGACTTTGAAAATAATCTGTAAGGTAAAGATAAAAAGGTCCCATACGTAACTAATTAAGCACTACTACATGAAGGCGTATGGGGGAATGGATGTATAGACCCACGTTTTCTTGACCTCAGCACTAGTTGGAGGTGAGTGGTCAGCCTCACATCCTGGTTGCTTTACCCCCTGGGGAAAGAGCCGCTAGTATCCAGTGGATAGGAGATTGGGTGGACCCCAAAGCCGGTCTGGACAACGTGGAGAAGTGAAAATTCTTGAACCCACCGGAACTCTTAACTCCAACCCCTTGGTCATCCAGCTCATAGCCAGTCGCTATTCCTGCTCCAAAAATAATCTATTCTTATTTTAATGTTTCTCTCATTATTGAATATTTTTGTGTGTTTTGCTCCAAGTTCCAGTTTCCACAAAATTCTTTTAGTTTATGTCATTTTAGAATGTCTGTTAAGTAAGGTTGTATTATCGCATGTTATCTTTTTATTAGAAATATGTGTGGTATGTAATTCCTTTGCAGAATATAACACATGGTCCATTGCAGTGTCTTCAGCTGTATTTTTAATATACCGTATTTACGCATGTATAGGCCGCAGCACAATTTTCAGACAAATTATAGAAAAAATAATTTTCTTGAAATATTATTTCAGGAGTAGAACGCCCTGTATTACTAATTATGAATATAATTTTTTTTAAATGAAGTGTGATTTCGAATATAAGCCGCACCCCAGTTTTCCTCTTGAATTTTTGGCAAATAATGTGCGGCCTATACATGCTTAAATACGGTATATTTTGAGACTACCAGGAGGTGTTATAAAGATTCAGACAAGTTGTCCTCAGGAAGAAGAAGCAAATGATGCAATTTAAGGGACTGCAGCCATCCCATTGCTAAATATACACTCATCCCAGCTCCCCTTCCTTTGGACTGAACTGGCCTGCCTGACCTTGAATTAAAGGGATGGGAGAAGGGATGGCTATTTATAGGAGAGTGGGGGTACCCCTGGAGTGATTCACTGTCATGCCAATCCACATGTTTGCTAAGAGAACTGGCCTGTATATCTTATCACCGCCTCACATATAACTTCCTATAGTAATGGCATGACATGAAAGTAAATTGTAATTAATGGTACAGAGTTCTTGTTGGCTGTATGAACGTGACAGTTTACATTTTGTTTCCCTGATATATTTGTCCTTTTGGTATTATCTTGCTTAAATAGGCAGACAAAAGTTATTTGTGGGGACCTTCAAGACTACATACAGGTCATCTTTAATTTGTTAGTTTTCACTGAACATAGGAATCTTAGGGTCAACCACTTTGGAGATCACAGATTTGATTCTTGGCCCAGAGAACGATTATCATGATCAAGAATTTTTGTGGTTTTCCCTAGTCATCCTTGCAAACGCAGGGATAGTTTCTTAAAATAGGCTAGAGCTTTCCTGTCCATATTCTTTCCAGTTCATCACTTATGATCATTTGTCCCATTTGATGCTATGAAACCTGTGATATTGAAAAGGAATTAAATAAATCAAGTGGGGGGGATATTTTTCTACTGCATGTAATTTATAAAAACTGCTGTTTTTTATTCTTATTTCAATTGTTAAAGAAGTTAATTTGGATCAGACAAGCTGTTTTTATTAGCCAGTCCTACCTTAGGAAGGAGAAATATGCTTAGGGACTCATGTTTTTATTTTTGAACTAGTTGACTTATTTTCATGAAAACTGGTTATGTCATGTTACTAGTGTTCATCTAACCCTTTTATCCCTTAATTCTGTATCATTGATAATTCCAGTGTGGCAGTAATGTAAACATTTGAAATGGAATTGATGTTAATGCCACTTTAATGTGGAGCCACAAAATTGTTATTTCTTTATAGTTCTTCAGGAACTTTTTTTTAAGCTCATGTTTTTGTAGTAAAGTAACAGTGACATTCACAGGAAATTATCTTCTTCCCCTGCCCCCAGTTTGGCAAACATAACTGATAACACTGAATCTGAATTCAGTATGGTGATAGATTGGACTTGCATCAACAGATGTTGTATTTATTTGTTTTGAAAGTTGCAAGCATGGTGACAGTATAACAGTTTAGTGAGGGATCATTTATTCTGCATGTGGTGTTTTTTTATATCCTTTTATCTTCATTTTGGAAATATTACAGGATTTTATTTAAACGTAAACATACACCATATGATAAATTTACATATATTTGAGGAAGATAGTTTAAAATTTTATAATACATTATTGAGCAACAGACATTAAGAACAAGAACATTAGAGAGCTGTATAGAGGAGTAAATGACTTTAAAAGGGGTTTACAACCTAGAAGTAACTTAGTGAAGGGTGAGAATGGTGATCTGCTTGCAGATTCCCACAACATTTTGCATAGTTGGAGGAACTGGTACTGTTAGTTATTGAATGTACATAGTCAGTGATGTTAAACATGTAGAAATACATATATACAGCTGAGCTGTTAGTACCTGATCCTTGCCCTTTTGAGGTTTAAATTGTTATTGTGAAGTTGAAAAGGTATAAATCGCCAGGTAGTGATCAAATTCCTGCAGAACTGATTCAAGCAGGAAGTAAAATATTATGTTCTGAGATCCATAAGGTAATTAATTCTGTTTGGAATAAGGAAAAATTGCCTGATCAGTGGAAAGAGTCTATTATTGTACCAGTTCACAAGCATGGTGATAAAACTTGACTGTAGTAATTATCGGGGGATATCACTGCTATCAACTTCATACAAAATTTTATCCAATATTCTTCTCTCAGGGTTAAGTCCATATATAGATGAAATTACTGGGGATCATTACTGTGGCTTTAAATGTTACAGATCAACTACTGATCAGATCTTTTGCATTCTTCAGATACTGGACAAAAAATGGGAGTACGATGAGACAGTACATCAGCTATTCATAGACTTCAAGAAAGCCTATGATTTAGTTAAGATGGAAGTATTGTACAGTATTCTCATAGAATTTGTGGTACCCATGGAACTAGTTAGGCTGATTAAAATGTGTTTCAACGAAATGTATAGTAAAGTCCATATATGTATATATTTGTCTGATAATTTTCCTATCTGGAATGGTCTAAAACAAGGAGGTTCTTTATTGTCATTGCCTTTCAACTTTGCTTTAGAATATGCCATTAGGAAGGTCCAGGAAAACCAGGTGGGACTGAAATTAAATGGGACACATCAGCTGTTGGTCTTTGCTGATTATGTGAATAGTATAGATAATCTGATAATATAGATACCATAAAGAAAAACACACATACTTTAATTGATGCTAGTAAGGAGGTTGGTCTAGAAGTAAACACAGAGAAAACTAAATATATGTTGCTGTCTTGTCACCAGAATGCAGGGCAAAATCATTACATAAAGATAGCTAACATGTGTTTTGAAAATGTGGTACAGCTCAGATATTTGGAAATGACTATAATGAATCAAAACCTGATTGAGGAGGAAATTAAGAGGAGATAGAATTCAGGTAATGCTTGCTACCATTCAGTCCAGAACCTTCTCTCTTCTTGTCTGCTGTCTAAAAGCATAAAAATTAGAATATACAGAACTGTATTTTTGCCTGTGGTGCTGTATGGATGTGAAACTTGATCTCTGACATTGAGGGAGGAACATAGACTGATGGTGTTTGAGGACAGGGTGCTGAGGAGAATATATGAATTATAAAGAGATGAAGTGACTGAGGTTGGAGAAAAATACATAACAAGAAGCTTCATAACTTGTAGTCTTCTCCAAGTATAATTAGAATGATCAAGTCAAGGAGGATGGGATGGACAGGGCATGTAGCACAAATATGGGCGAGGAGGAATGCATGTAGGATATTGGTGGGAAAGCAAGAAGGAAAGAGACCACTAGGAAGACCAAGATATAGGTGGGTGGACAATATTAACATGGATCTTAGGGAGATAGGATGGGATGGTATGGACTGGATCGATCTGGCTCAGGATAGGGACCATTGGAGTGCTCTTGTGAATGTGGTAATGATCCTGGTTCCATAAAATGCTGGGAAGTTCTTCAGTAGCTGCAAAATTGGCACCTTCTCAAGAAGGGCTCAGCTCCATGAGTGAGTGAATGCTTTACATGAAGCTTTGAGCAGAACATTCATCCACAATGAAGTCCTTCTGGATGATCATTTCGAATTGATCACGTCGGTCCCTGATAATGTAGGCAGACTCCAAAATGCTGAAGTTTTACTTCAAATGAGTGCAGCAGTTTGCCAGAGAAAACTTCCTTGCTTTTACATCATGAAAACTTATGGTTTTGTATGCATTCTGTCCATTTCCTTCTAACATTAGCAGCAGTTGAAAGTATTCTGATTTAGAAGACAAACTGAGATAAACTGAATTAATTTTCAGATATGAGCTTCAATACCGATCCACAAGCTGTGTTATTAATCAGAATCATGTTGATTTGGTTAGTGACATTCTTTCGTGTTAAATGATGGTTAAACACTTTTCTCCTTTTATATTGTTGCAGTAAATTCCCAAAGACAGACTATACATACTCCCGAGTATCACCACATCGCAAAGAGCTAGCACCAGGTGTGATTCCTATGCCCAACATGTCTCGCAGAAGCCTCGGTACTGTGCGCCAGCATGGTAGCTCAGAAAACAGAATTTCAAATAGTACTGTCGCTGCAGTCTCAAAGCATGATGTGACAAAATCACGTTGGTTTGATCATTCTACCTCAGGTAGAGTATTGATTTATGCATATTTTATCTGCTTCCTCCAATTTTTATTTTTTTAATCTCAGCCTCTTTCATGATTACGAGTCACCTGTGTTTTTTCAGAGCTTTATAAAATCTCAGCTCTATTCTAACTATAATGAAGGTTTTTGCTTGCATACTTCAAAATTAATAGATAAACAGTGAGCATTGTCATGTGCATACCTGTAGTTCCAGAAATATGCACAACAGTTTAATATTTCAGTTTTAAGTGATCAAATAGAAAATTAAGTTACTTGTGTGAATCTTTATGCTGTCTAATCAGAAAATGAAAACTTTACAATAAAAGACATAGTCAGAAGATCATAATGGTTTGCAATACTTGTACATATATCTGCCAGCTTTTATCTAATAGAACTTTAAACTATATAAAGTTATTAAATTGAGTGGAAAATGCTCGAAACTTTCATAAATATACATTTGCAGCTTCTTTTAATTCTAATATATACTACATGTGAGTGACATTGTATTTTAGGCTCACAGGCATCCAGGAAAGTTTTAGAAGATTGGGCTGCTGTGGATTCAGATGTGGATGATGTGGCTGAATCACTTAGCAAAAAGACTTCTTCAAGTCGTTCCAAGCAATGGACTGTCACTACACGTGTTACATCTTTCTTCCTTGCCATCTGGACCTTCATCACTGTCTCATACAGCCGCACTGTTGACATTGTGTATAGACTAGTTGGTCGTCGCCGTGGTGCTGATATGTATGCCACACCCCGCCGTAAGCTTGGCTTTGGATTTATTTCTTATTGTCTATATTTACTATATATATATGTGTCTGGTTCTGATCGTAGAGTGTAGTCGGAAATTATTTTCACTGTTTTGTGATGTTAAATATATGTCAACAGTTTTCGTATCAGTCCTAATTCATTCAGGAGCCTCCAAACATCGTAATTCCTATAGGAATTTATAGAGCTTTCATTAATGCTGTGTTGAGTGTTACGTCAATGCTAATAGTTATAGAGAATGAGCTTGAAAACACCAGAACAAAAACTTAGAGAACCCTAAAATAATCTATCTCAGTGCATCCTTGTTTACTGGTTATCTTTATGCTAATAATATTAGAAAACAATAAATTGTGGACATTCAATGCAGTTTGCTCCAGTAACTATGTACTCTAAAACAGTTAATATTTTATTTTTTACTGAAACCGTCACAGCACGACAATCAACAGTACATGTAAGTAGCTCTAGGAGATACATTTGCTACAAGTTTTGACCTTCAAGAGGCCATCATCAGGCAAATAACTTTTCATTATTGGATTGCATGTCAAGAAATAATATATGATACATAACAGGATGCATTAACTGAAAAAAGAGGTTACTATTTTATCTGATTTTGAGAGTACAGCACTAAGCAAAGATCATAGATTCAGGATGTTTCACATATTTCTTTTGCAGCTGATTATACGCTAATGGCATAGCCTACATAGAGTTTTCTTTTTTGATCTTGCATATATTTTCACTGATACACTCAAAATATGTTTGGCTATTTTAACATTTCGTAGCATCATTTTAAGAAATGATTTTTAGTCATAATTAGTTGAAAAAGACTATGTACTTACCACTTTTCCTGTTAGCTGTGAAGTATGTGAATATTGTACATAGAATGAAAAGATACAGCACTAGGCATAGAACTGTGACCAAGTTTGTGCTTGATTCCATCTCAAACATATTGAGAACCATTTTGTAACAAGTGTGTTAACATATTAAAAGAGACATGAGTTTTGGTGAAGTTTATTGTAACATCGTTCATAGTATTACTGAAGAGAGCTACGAAGCTTTTGAGTGAGAATAAGGATCTGAAGATATAATGCAGAATTCCAAAGTGAGCACATCATTACAGTCGTTGGTTTTCTGTTGTCAATAGGAGGCGTGTCTCCTGTGTGGGTTGAAGGACGCTCCAGCTGGTTGCAGAGGCTCTTCACTTGGGTCCATCACATGGTGTCCTCAGTAATGTTGTTGGATACATTGCTACTGTCACGTTGGCGCACAACACAAATAGAACAGGAGCATGAGATATATTATGATGACTACTATACAGAAAAGGATGCTGTAACTAAATCTTTATCTTCTCATAAGCGCAACACGTGGAGACTCCTTCTTCTCCTTCTACCCCTCATCTTTCTGGCAGGTAAGGTAATATATATGTTAAAAATTTTTGTGATGATTTCTATAAATTATTTACCAGTACTGTAGCCCTCTGTAGCTTTTCTTCATAGCACTCAAGATTAAATGACACAGTGAAACCCCTTTATAGTGTTTTGCTGGGAACCATAATTTTTTAACATTGTAAGAGGGAGGCACTGTGCGTGAGAAATGCTCGCTCTTGCTCTGTGAATCGTTAAAACCATCTAAATATTTACAGTGCTTAGTATCAGTATTTTTATCATTAGGAAAAGTAAAAAAAGTAAAGTAAAACTATCCCTGCAACAGGCTGTGGAGGCCCATGGGGTTATGAGATGTTGAGGTTCCCACATTTTCTAGACAATCGGCTCATAGATGGCAGTAAAGTTGTCAGTCCTACACGCCGGCCGCCCTTTACCCCCAAAAATATTCATGGTACTCTTTTCTGTTAGATGCTGAGTAGACCCCAGGGCCAAAGTGCATCTGGAAGGATTAGGTAAATTGAAAAAAAATCCACCTCGTCGGGATTTGATCCTGCGACTTTCTGGCTTGTAGCATAGTGTCTCAACCAACTATGCTACCGCATGCCCCCTTTTATCTTTAGGTGCAAAAGTAAACTAAAATACTTAACATAGTAACAATATAGTAATAATGTCATATATATTGCAGATTGCTGCATATGCAAATATTAATGAATTTAAGTAAATTGAACATTCATTAGATTATAGCACAAGCACATGAACCAGCAATATTCACAAAAAGATAATAAAATTATGTAGTATACTCTTAACGGACACCTTCACCAGAGTGTATTATAAATTAAATAATTAGGCCTGTTATGAAATTTTAGGTTATAGTAGACAAACAGATTCACATACAACTATTCATTGTGTGCTGATAATTATTCAAATTGCTAAGAAGTCAGAACTATAGATTTCTACTGAATTACATTGCATTGCATTCCCTGAATCCAGAGTTAGTCAAAATGTCTGTAGGCAGTGGAATATGTCGTAAATACAAAGACATATGTGCAGCACAACTGAAGTTTTCCTACAAGAAAAAACAGTGGTTACACATGAATAAGAAACACACATCCATATGCACATATACACATCACTACAGTGAACTTGTGCACTTTGCACAACCTTTAAATGGATGAGTCATTTTTAAACAACAAGTATTCATCAGCAGAGTAGAAAGAGTATAAATCCTGCTTTTTCTTTCAGAAGACATATGAGATCAGGTGACAGATTATTGCAGATTTTGATCTCAGCATAATATGTGCTTTTCTGAAAGCGTGAGAGGTTAGCAGTTGATTTATGGGTATAGTGCTTGTGTTAACATTGTGTCCATCTACCTTGGTATTAAAATGTTCTTTGTTATTTGTAATGAAGTTTATTAATAAGAATATATATTGACGTGGAAGAGTTAAGATCTCTAGTCTTTTAAAACAGATCTCTATAAGAATCATGTGATTTGACACCTATCATGAATCTAAAAAATTTTCTCTTGCAATGGAAACAGCATTTTGCTGTCAGGTGAATTGCCCCAGAAAATTATTCTGTACTTCATTAAAGAATGAAAGTAAGCAAAATAAATTGATTTGAGAATGTCAGTGTTGCTGATATGCAACATAGATCTAGCTGCATAACATGCTGCACTTAACTGAATAGGCAATCAGTATTAAGGCTTGTGTTCACTTTTAGTACACATATGAAAAGAAAGTGACCGCCTCTGTGGTCTAGTGTTCAGAGTTCCTGCCTACAGATCCAGAGGTCCTAGGTTTGATTCCTGGTGCTACCAGAAACAGCTTGTTACTAAATGGGAAGCTGCAGGCACCCAGAAATTTAAATTAATGAGATCACACTGTATTTTCATCATTTGTGACATACCACAACTTATTTTATAATGCAAAACTTGTATTATAAACTCTGTTTTGCGGCAACCACCTCTATGGTCTAGTGGTCAGAGTTCCTGGCTTCAGATCCAGAGGTCCAGGTTCAATTCCCGGAGCTACCAGAATTTCTGAGAAGTAGTAGGTCTGGAACGGGGTCCACTGAGCCTCGTGAGGATACTCGAGGATCTATTTCAGGGAAATATTGTCTCCGTTCTAGAAAACCGAAATTAACAGCCATAGGGATTCGTTGTGCTGACCACGTGACATCCTCTATCCGCTAAATTTGGCACTAACTTTGCTGACAAGCGGCGATCGCTTGTTCAGTATAGTTGGCTTGCGGATTAAAACCACAGAGGTTGTTTTTGTTTTGTTTATATAATTTATGTATTCATAATCATAAAATACTATAATTATCAATGTCTTACCAGTGCGAAAGATGATACTGCTGAACTTTAAATTTCTATCTACTGAATTAACATCATTATCACTACCCTTCAGAACTCAGTTATTTGCATCTGTTAAATTTGCCTACTTCAGCCATTGCAGAATGAAGAAAGAGTGAAGTGATGTCTGTAGTAGATGTAGTTAATGTCTTCTATGGTTAGCAGTGAGGCATGCTGACACAGCTTTATTTCTTGTGCATTCTTGGGCGTGTCATGTCATAGCTAACTTTGTAACATTTTCTTATTTGTTGGCTTACTATTTAAAAATGCAATTTTTTTTTACAGGATTTCACGTGGTGCAAACATATTCCTTTCCCTATCCAGACTTGATTTCAGAAATTAAATCTGCATTTTATGATGCAAAATTGTTTTCAATTTTTGAATCAACTACTTAGTTGTGATTTATGTATATTTTTTATTATTATTTTGTTGTACCCTCCTACCCCTGCCTGTGCAGCATGCAGCAGACCTCAGGGTGTTCATACTTTGTTTCTTCTTTGTGTAAAAAGTTCTTGATTTGCTTTCGGAGTCTTTGTTTTCCTTAATTGCTATTAAATACAGACATATTTGATCTCACATGTTATAACATTTCAGAATTGATATCAGACATTTATTTTCCTACATTATATTTAGTGTAAATTAAATTTCACACAGTAATAATTAAAATTAAGTTTTGTATTAAATACTTTATCATTGAAAGTGCATTTTGTCACCATTTGAGCTTCACAACATGATTTTATTTTTTGTATACATATTAGGAAGGGGCGGTTCTGTTAGAATTTCGATAAGCCTGTTGGTTAGAAATAGAATCCCACAACCATCTTATAATTTTATGAAGGTTATATATGTAATATGTTGAATGTAGCTTTCACAAAATTGCTTTAATTTTTAAATTATTATTGGGGGAAAATAGTAATATAATCTGAATGATAGATCATTACCTGTGGGTATATATTTTCGGGAAATTTAGTGTACTGGTGTAGAAGGGGAATGTAATATTATGATTATTAATTTGAAACCAGTCACACTGGATGGAACTATTTAACTTTTCATAATATTATTAGTGTGACGGACCAGAATGAAACAAATCAAATTCATTGAAGGTAGTCAAGCTAAACTGGTAAAATCTTAACCAGTCACACTGGATGGAACTATTTAACTTTTTCATAATTTTAAAATAGTTTTAAAAGTGACATAATTTATAAAATTTGAAAAAATAGGAACAATTTCTGTTAAGAAACTGAATTAAATTTCTGGCTGATAAATAAATAATGAAATGCAGTGAAATCATAACATGATGATTAAGATGCCAGAGAGGGGTTAAGAGGCCTGAAATTAATATATTTTCAAATTTCACTTAATTTCTTAGGTAGTGAGTATGTATTCAACAAATTTATAAGTGCAGCAGTTAATTTTTAAAGACAGTCTTGCCATAATGTAGGTATTTAGGTATTATCTTTTCATCTTCGAAGCATTGAGGTCATGTCTGGGGTAGTCCATGTGGATTTATGGTATTAAAATGGCATTGTATGTAATTTTTCTCTGTCACCAATACTTCATGCTCACCTGTCATTGCATCAGTCCTCACGGGGCTTCAATTCTGACCAGCATTTGGTTAGCCTGAGCAAGGAAGCTTATGTATTTGTTATTAACTGTCCGTTGATTTGATACAATGGAATCATCCTACTTTGTGCCTTATATCAACATCTCTTTGCTTAAAGTTTCTCCCTGGTGAACATTTACCATGGTGCACGTGCTCTTGGATTTGTGTGTGCTATATGCCCTGAGGTCATAAATTTGCCATGCTGCTCAGAATTTGCTAATAATCTGCTTTGCTAGATGCTTGGTGCAATTAACTACTTTTACCAGGGGAATGAATAGTTACCAGCATTCCCAGTTTTGCTCATGGGTTTATTGCAGAGGATCCAGAAGACAGAGTTGTTTACCTCTTAATATTTTCTTACGATTATTTATGATTGTAGACACAAGGATTGTTTCAAAATTTTCCCACAAGGATTTAAACTCAGAATTTGTATTTAAAATTTTATACATTATATTCATATTTTTATATGAAACTAAAAGAGATGTTTTCTTCAAAATCTACTGTGTTCCACCAAGTGTTGTTGTATGGCGGTGATATTGCCTTGTACTGTATCAAAGGCTGTTATTTTTGCAGTCATAAATGATGATTTTTTTAATGTGGGTTATGTTGTTAAATTAAATCATAACTAATAGAATATTTTTTGTTCATTCACTGATTAGCTTTCATTGGGTATTGTGATGATTAGATTGTCCCCTTAGGTTTACAGAATAGGAGTACACTTAATGGCCAAATATACTGGGGTGAGGGACATTATCCAAGCAGAACTTTTGAGTCTGCTTCTAAGAAAAGTTAAATATGATAGTGGCCTACTTTCAAGCATAGAGTTTCTCTTAACAGACCCAGGTTTTCCTAATTTTTCTCAAACAACAGGGCAGTTCCCATAAGTGTAAGAAATTGTTTTGAAAATGTGGCAGGTCCAGATATTTCAATAAAAACTTTTGATGTTAGGTTACACAGTAATACACAAAATTTCAGGAATAGTACCAAAAATGTTTGATATTACCACTACAGTGAAAGAGTGAAAGTGCACATTGAGAATTGACAAATCTGTGGGACGTCCAGCA